ACTGAGAGAAGGCCTGGTCCAGAAAAGTGGCCTGTTGTACCCTATTATTATACAATGTGGACTTGACATATCATAAACAATACTTATGTCTTGTTTGTTTATTTATTTATTTATTTATTTATTTATAACTATACACTTGTACATATCCAGACATGGTAATAAACACTTAAATGATACAGGAAGGCACAAAAACAAAAATGAAAGTTCTTGCTTTCTAACTTCAATAAGATGCTTCAGTTTCATCCCGGGTTCTGCGACTGTTAAAATGCAATCAGCCACACTCCCCAGGGGACTTAGTTCCTTTTGTTAAAAAATAGCAATAAAGATAAAATCTAGGGGCTAGAAGTAAAGATTTCAGTATTTTATATGAAGATTGGGGGATGCAGCATGCTAGTGAAGCCACTTGAGGTACAGAGCGGAAAATATTTCTTTTTAAAGAAAAGATAACAGTTTTATGATGATTTTGAATATAACCAAATTTTTATCTTAGCCCTAATTATGAGACTTTTTAAAAAATGATTTTATTTATGTATTTGACAGAGAGTGATCACAAGTAGTCAGAGAGAGATATCACAAGTAAGCAGAGAGAGGGGGAAGCAGGCTCCCTGCTGAGCAGAGAGCCTGATGCGGGGCTCTAGCCCAAGACCCTGAGATCATGACCTGAGCCAAAGGCAGAGGCTTAACCCACTGAGCCACCCAGGTGCCCCCTAATATGAGACTTTTAAACCTAATTTCTTCTTTCTCCAGTAGTTTTAATGTAACTTTTGCCTTACCAAGAAATATTTTGTCTCCTGTATTTTGAAATCTTTTCTTACTCTATCTTTATACCATGCCTCAAGTGCCCTAGAATGGTTACCCAAACAACTCTTTTTATCATTGTACAGGACAAACTATATGAGAAGTAAAAGAAACTCTACCCCATATCCTGAAAAATTATAAATAATTTCTTTATAATTTCATGTGGAATTCTATATAATTAGAAGATATCAGGAATAAAAGGGACAAGTCTGAAATTTTGCCTTAAATTAGCCTTTAACTTATTTTCATGAATACTTTATATATATATTTATACTAAAATATATACATACATATATAGATATAGATATAGATTTATCTTCTCTGTGGTATTGGATTACCATGGATCTATACAAGCACTATTAGTTTAATATTATTGTATCAGCCTAATTTTTCAATTAAAGAATGTCAGCACATCTAAATAAATGCCAAGAATCCTCAGAATGTTTTCAAACCTAAAAAGTTAAAGTGGAAAAATTTCTGCAGGTAACCACTACCTGGTTTCACAGGACTCAACTCAAAATAGACAACAGCATATTGTATTATAACAAATTTCATATTCAATATTTAAATATTCTATAATTCTTTTACTAATAATTCCAGAAATTTTTGGCCCATTCCTAATCTTTTCATTTTCACAATTTATCAGGTTTCAGTCACATGAAGTTTCAATTCAAATATCCTTTCCAATACATACGTACATGTAACCATGCATGGGTATGTACTTATACACCATGGTGGTGCACGTACCCATGCACAAACACACATATTCTAAATTGTTAATTTGTATTAATTGAATAATTCTTCCAAGATAAAACCCAATTGGCCTTATTCTTGTAACTTGGTAAATTTAGCTCCAAGTGATCTCTAAACGTAGAATATGGTTTCCCAAAATCTTGACTGGCTGATGAGGCATTGGGTTCCTGATCTTGGCTTTGATCAGAAATTTGTTCTTAAGATTCTGTGGTTTATTTTAAATGCTTCACCACCAAAGAGATTCTCAGGGAGTTAAATGCTTTCAAGTTGACCCTGTAAAACTCTACTTTCTCAATTTGCTTGTCCAGTTGGCATCAGAATTCATTAGGGCTGATGCAGCCATTTCAGGGCCCTATGTGATCCTACCAGTTCCTCTAAAGGTCACGTACACAAAAGACTACTGACCTTACTTTCAGGTTTCTGAGGCAATTTGTGTTCTGTTGTACCAATATTCAATATGTGGCAGTTCCCCTGCTTATTCCTCTCCCATATGCCTTTTTTTTTTCCAGTATTTTATTTATTTGTCAGAGACAGAAAGAAAGCACAAGTGGGGGAGCAGCAGGCAGAGGGAGAAGCAGGCTCCCTGCTGAGCTCCATCCGGTGTGGGACTCCCAGTGTGGGACTCCATCCCAGGACCCTGGGATCATGACCTGAGACAAAGGCAGACACTTAACTACTGAGCCACCCAGACATCCCTCCTCTCCCATATTCCTCATATCAGAATTCATGATATTTTATTAACTTGATCCATTTTTAAATTCCCTTGTTTAATATATTATCCCTTTAGCTCAGTATTATCCATTTGTTAACCCCTCCTGTTCAGTGTAAGTAGGAAATTTCAGTTTAGATGGAAGGGTCTGAGAAATTGACATCTGTATGTTCATTTCCAGGATGATACATGATTCCTAACAATACTGAATTGTAATGTTAACATGAGTCATCTAAAAAGGACAAATAATTTATTCTCCCTGATAGAACTGTATTTAGAAGAGATGATACTCTTAGACGGGGCCCAGCTGAGATGAGGAGGAGGCCGGCAATGCACTTGTTTTCTGTACATCTACAAATCTTGGGGAAATAATTTCCTTTTATCTTTTCATTCATTTTTTTAATAGGCGGTTTTCTGACTCACAATGTAAGGCTGCCATTTTTTAATAGAAAAGGGGGTGGATATTCCTTCCTACAATAGGAGGTGAAAGAATGTTTTAAAACCGGGGTTGGCAAATTTACGGACAGGAGGCCAAATTTGGCCTGCAGCCTGTTTTTGTATGGCCCATGAGGCAAACATGGATTTTACATTTTTAAAGAGTTACACACACGTACACACAGAAGAATATGCAACAGGGATCATGTTTGGCCTGCAAAACCTAAAATATTTAATATCTGGCCTTATATAGAAAATGTTTATAGACCTGTTTTAAAATACCTGTAATAAAATGGCAATTTACAATATTTTCTACATGACAGGTACCTGAGATTTTATATGTTTTAACTCCTTGAAGTCTCATAGGATCCTTAAGTGTATTGAGAATTGAAATATTGTCCCCATTTTGGAAATGAGAAAACCGAGGTGTGAAAGGTTAATATCACGTATCTTGTAAGGGTTGGAGAGAAGACTACACAAAGGCAGCTGGGCACTAGAGATTGTATTTGTAACCATTACATTGCACCACCTCTGAATGGGATTTGACATTTGTTGTTTAGGTTTTGTTTTAGGAAGGGGGAGGATGTGTGCGCGCGAATGTATCCCACTCCCGATATCACTCAGTGGTTAGTCAAAATAGAACAGTGGTGTGATTGGGAGAACATTGTTTACACACAAGGCAAAGTATCCAGGTTCCCTTAAGGATGTAAAGGGCACAGCGACTGCTCATGAACTATACAATGCTGCAAACACAGCAATGTTGGTGATACCGATAATACTACTTGATCTGGGTGATGACTCTTCAGGGCACTAAGCTTGACATACAGTGGTTTTATACCTTCTTGGTCCCTTACGCCTGCTCTCTCAAGAGATTTGTGCCATGCGCCTGGCTGCCCAGCATTTGAAATTACTGTAATTGGCAACCCTCCCAAAGCATTCCTCAGTGCTATTGCAAGACTGCAGAGATTAAAGGTAAACTCGAGGCTTGCCACCCTATTGGCAGGTCAGGCTTCAGGGCTGCCTGGAGCTTATCTCGGCAATGGCCAGTTTGCTCTGCTTTCTAGGAGCTTTTCTTCTCTTACTTTTGCTCTCTCTACTCTCAACTCGGTGAGAGGTTTTGATGTATTATGAGAAGAGTTCTGTCTCTATTGCAGTTTTCTCCTATGCATATCCTGAGTTCTGGAGCCCTCAATTATTATTTCTTCATTGATTTGATTTGACTTCCTTTGGTTTTGCAGGTATGCGTTAAAATCTTTAGCTTGCCATTATATTCTCAATACCTTTATAAATTTATTCCTTTTATAGTTTTATAGCATTATTTTAAGAGGACTTTGGGAGGAGAGGAGAAGTACATACGTACCAACCCCACCATTTTGAACTAGAACTTATCAAAATTTATGTGGCAAGAAAAATGCATTTGGGGATACGCTGATAGGTTTCCTTTCACTTTATGCTTTACTGCATTTCTTCTCTTATATTTTGAGAACTTCCCCATCAGTCCTGAAATGATAAAAATTAAAGAATCAAAGAAGCACTTTTTTTATTATAAGTTCAGAAATCTATGGTGTAAAACAGGGAACATTTGGATGGTTAACATTATTTTCCTGTCTCTAGGCCAGATAAGGAATGGGAATGCAATAGGAAGGGAAAGAAAAGGGGGCTATGTGCACTGGTGAGATGTCAGCATCAAGAGGTCGCCATGCTCCATCCAAGCCAGAACTTTCTGTGAGTATTTCCTGGGAGATGTCAGAGACTGGGACTGCTTCAGGACATCGTCTAGTCTCCATTCCAGTGGATGGCAGCAGAGAAAAAGGTCTTTTTGTTCTTGTTGGTGATGATCACCCACTGACAGCAGTCCCCATGGTGCTTGTTTCTCTTCCAGAAGGGTTGAAGCCTTGAGATTCTGCTTAGCCTTCAATCGATCCAGTCAGTATGAACAGCCTCACTTTCATGGCCTGGGATGGTTTAAGCCAAAATAGTAAGTAAAGAGGGTGGTTCCAGATTTCCCAGTGAGGAAATGGTGGAAATGATATTTATCAGTCAGGGGCCTGGCAGGAAAGAGTTAATACACTTAGCTGGATAATTTTAGAAGAGTTTAATGATATTTTTGAAGGTTTGGACAGGTTTAGGAGCATCAGTAAAGGTCGCACAATACCCCGTAGCTAGCTACAATAGGTTTACCTTCAGAAGACCTGAAGGTCACAGGGAGGGAGTGGCTTCCAGAACCTGGAGGTGGTTTCTGTTTGGAGAGGGATTGAAAGAAAAAAAAAATTTTTTTAAAAACCCAGCCTTTCTCAAGCTTATTTGGCTAATCTTTTTTCTTTCATGTAATATCTGTTACCATCTTGTGGATCTTTGGGAGATGCTGGTATGGATATATTCTCACCTAATGAGGTAAACGAAATGATTTCTCTTGACAGTATTCCCGATTTTATGGTTCTATGAAATTTTTAGAATTGGACCTGTCATCCAAAAAGGCCAATTTAAAAAACAGCCTTAGCTAAACTCTCTGTTTCAGGGTTGTTATTCTACGTTTTATAGCTGCTCTTTAGTGGGGAGTAAGGAACTGTGTCAAAGATTCATTCTTAATGAAGCAATTTTCTAATTTTATATTATCTTTTGGGTTTCATATTTACCTATGGTTTTCTGAAAACTTGTGATTTAGAGGAAAACTTAGAATATATTACTAAATACTTGGCTGTGGTGGTGCTTCAGTTATGCCAAGATCTGAAAATGTGTAATAATTTCATAAATATCTTTGAACAACAGTACCGTGCAGCATTAATAGGGGAGGATAATTCATTTTTATTTCACTGGGCATACTTCAGCATGTGACTTTATGCAAACTAAATTGTGTTAAGTTCAAGTGGGAATTGAGGATCAAGATTTTGGCTTTTCCAGGTTTTGTGACTAGATTCAAAATAATAATCCATGGAAAGAGGGGAATCAGAGGCTCTTTTGGCCCCAGTACTGCTATTTATTATTAATATCTGAATTTTCGACAGACAGAGTTGATTTAAAATCCTTCAGTATGTCTTTTTCACTGTCTAGTAGTCTGAACAAGAAGTTTTATCTTTTGTATTTTTTGTTTTGTTTTCTAAATATTAAATTCCTCCCTTCCTTCCTTCTAAATATTAAATTCTAAGTTCATTTAAGAGGGACAACAGTCTATATCTTCACTGATCCTTGTTAAGTAAGTGATACATCTAATGTGTTGGGCATCCAGAACTCTGAGAAGAATGGACTTTGTTCTTTTCTATGACTGTAGGAAATAGAACTTTGCTTACTTATCTTAGTCCATAATATGTGTGATATCTAAGGATTTGTGACATCTTAGACCAAAGGGTACAGGATTACATGGCTCTGATGAGACCAATTCTCTGACACATGGACTGTGTCTTTTATAGAGAGAAATGATCACTGTTTAAGGGTAAGACAGTGTTAACAGGAGAAATAGTGTAATGTAATGTTATTAAAAAGCATCCTTAGTCGGGGGTGGGGGGGGTGTTACTAACTTTCATGATGTAAATATTTCTATAATGGCCACTTTCAAATTAGGAACATGATGTCATTGAACATGACCTTGGAAAAAGATGTGCAATGGCCCTCTATTACATAGGGTTCCACCATGCAAATATAGAAAGATGTACAAAAACTCAAGAGCACTGATAATAGTAAAGTCAGTTAAATAATGAGGAAGTATTGTGTTTTGACTATCACCTTTGTTTTTAGATAATTTAGTTAATTGTAAATTAATATAATTTGATTTTTACTAATGGCTATGTTTAACAACCAACTCGAAAAAGTCCTAAAATTTTAATAATTGGCTTTTGTGAACCAGTACCAGGTGTCTCCCCTACATCATTGGATAAGAGTATAAGATTTAAAGTTAGATAGTTCTGAATTTGATTCCTTGCTCTGCCACTTACAAGCTGTGTAGCCATGTGAAATTTGTATTTCTTTTTTAAGCCTTCATTTTCATGAATGAAAAGTAAGAGTAAAAATTATATCTACTTTGCATAGTTGTTGTGAGGATTAAATAAAATGATAGCTCCTCCTCCCTTGGAAAGAAGGGCCCCATGGCTAAAACTTTCACATGGTCCCTGTTAGAACTATGATCACAAAGCATTTTTTTTTTTTTAAGTGAGAGAAAGCTATTAAGAGGAATACGCTCAGTTCCACCTAGTGATGTGATTTGCATAATTAAATGGAAGATAGGCAGACCTCTTAAAGGATTCAGACTGTACTATTGCCGAGAATGAATACTTTTCCTTGGGATATGTGTAGTTGCATTCCAGCAGACATTCCTCTGCTTCTCGTGGTAAGATTACAAAGAAGATCCTGTTTTTTAGGGAGTTTGGACAGTGCTGCAGGGTTTGGGAGACCCATAGACTAAAGCCTCTTCTCCGATTCCTCCTTTACAGATTCTATATAAGAGAAGGAAGATTCTCCCTTTTACAGATGGTAAAAATGGGTGGAGATTTACATAGGTGACCTCAGAAAAGGAAGAGGGTGACTTAGGAGATAGGCATAAATCTGGCAAAGAACCAAGAGTGTTATGAACACGAAGATCTCGGTAGCAGCTTTATATTCTTGAAGTCACTCAGACTCAGTAAGTTTTGTGATCTTTCATTATGGTCTGTTTCACTGAGAAATATTTTCTTTTAATACTGTTTAACAAAAAATTTGTTGTTTTTCAATGGCTTCCAATAACTTTACAATGACATAGAGCATGAAATTGAAAGAATGTGACTCAAATTCTGAAAATAAGATAAAATGATCAAACGATTGTAGATCCCAGCTTGTCTATTCTAAGACTAAAAGGTTGTATCTATTGTTTTGTTTAAGCCATTTTTAACAAGACAGTCATTACAACAGACATGTTTCCAGAGCAGATGTATATAATGAGAACCCTTGAAAGTCACAAAGACTCCACAGAGCACAAGAAATCTATATTTACGTATTTGAGTTACAAAAAGTAAATCAATTACAAATGCCTCTACTCTAATGTCTTGAATAACAGATAAGAAAGAAAGAACATTCAGTATTATTTTAAAGAGCTTAACAAAAGTAATTAGGATTATTAAATTTTTAAGTGAAAGACTTTTGCCGTTCAGAGTTCACAATAAAGATTGGCTTTCTTCAAACTGCTAAATTTGATTCATGAACAGTAGGGGAATGTTAAGATGAATGAAAAGTACATGAGACATATCTGAAACAGTTTTAGAAGAATTAACTGTAGTAATAGGAAAACGTGTAAAAAATGAAATGGTAAACAAAATTAAAAAAAAAAAGACACCAAATATTAGTTCATTTTTTAAGCTTCTAAATGACACAAAACACTGATTAAATTAGTAATTATTAGGCCCTCCCAGTTTAACAATAACAAAAAAAACCCCTGATGAATATTTTTAAACTTTTTTGCCCAGTGAAAGCCACCTAGATATTGTGACTTTAAATTAAAAATGAAATAAAATGAGTTCTGGAAAATGGTAACTATCTGCTGAAAAACATTAGCAATAAATTGTATGACAATGCCCCTGTTATGAAAGGTGGGGACAAAGGGCTGCAAACACTCTTTGAAAACTTTAATAAGTAAGCAGAATATGTGCCATGCCAGCTCATTTCTTTAATCTTTTCAGAGAAAAAGCTGCTGTGACAGTAACTGAAACTGTTGACTACTCAAGTATTTTGCAACAGCTATGTTTTCTTTTCAGATTCATCTCATAGAGTATTTTAAACAATGAGATATATAAACGCATATGCAACTTATATTTTCATTAAAAAATCTCAAAGTAACAAAAGGATTGTTCCACTACAAAGTTGCTTGAACCTTGTGTGATAGATATAATGACCATTTAAGGATCTAAAGTATTCTTTTTCTACGAGTTGGAATATATAAAGTTTGTTGAAAAAGCTGATGAATTTACACCATTTTGACTGCTCTTCTGAAGATATTTTGGAATGTTTCAATAAAACAAGTAGGAATGTATAGCTTCCTGATTTGGAAGTATATAAAAAGTATCATTTTGTCATCTTTACATTTTCTTTTAGAATTGAGAGAAAATACAGATGCAAGGTAATACAACCTGACTCAGATGCAGTGGAATTGAGTGATGACGTTAATAAAAATTATTCCAACAATGAGACGCAAACAGTAGTACCAAAAATTCATCAGGTGACACCAACATTCAGTAAGAGGAAGAGACGAAGTTCAAGGAAAAGTACTGAATAGGTTCTTTGATTGTTTGATATCCAATTAAGGAAGAGGGATAAATCATGTGAACACAACAGGGAAAGATGTTTTAGATGAAATCCTGGAAAACAGAAAAGTAATAGCATTTATGAAACTTTATTACATCAACAGGAAACTGGAAAACAAGCTGTGGATTCAAAGGAAAGTGGAAATACTTGAAATCCTACAGCTCATATGGAAAATAAACTAGCTAGAATACTTCCAAATTTTACAGTAATCCAAAAACCTTATATAATGTGACCACTTTTACTGTTTTCAAAAATTTCTTTTTCATATATGAAGCTGAAATAAATTTTTTCTAGCATTAAAAGCAATGCAATCAGTCATGCTAGGAGAAATACTGAATTATCTGTTCTCTCTAGAGAATACAATATTTTAAATTTTTCATTATACAAAGAAGTGATAAAAAATGTGCAGCCAAAAGATATAAATGAAATCCATTACTATGAGATGTGTCATGTAGGTGATCAATTATGTGTGTTAATTATTATGGGCTTTGTGGTATTTGCCAGTCTTTTAAATTTTTCAGTTTGTTGTGATGTCTTATTTAGAATAAGATTACATATTAACTTTCATACTTAACAATGTATCTGTAATTTTGTATTAGTTTGTGGAAGGTCTAAGTTTAGACCATAGCAAACCTGTCCCTGACCTTGCTTATACGCCGGGCACAGGGAGAGGGGGAAGTTGTTTACACTGTAAGGACCTCTTTGCTGGGGCTAAGGGAGAGGAGAGGCATCACACCAAGGCCACTAATCTAGGTATTCCTGGTGTTGATTTGCAGCAATACTCTGTACTAAAACCTTGGCTCTGGAATCAGACTGGGTTTGATAACAGATAAGATACCATCTAAGATAGTGATACAGCTTAATGGCTATGCAAACTTGAGCAATTCTGCTTTGTCTTTTTCTTTTGAAAATGAGGATAGTAATATATCTCTTCCCTCAGTTTTTGTGAGGATAAAATACTCTGAGGAGCTCAATATATATTTAAATAAGTGAGAGACAAATAATGAATACGAACAACAGAATGCAGAATATAGCAAAAATTCAGGAAGGCGGAACTCTAGGAGAAATAAGAACCAAAGAGAAAGTCATGATAAGAGGGCAGTGAGAAAAGATTTGGAGGAAGATTTGGCCTTAAGCAGAAATCCCATATTCATGGAATTCTTCATTTCAAACAGCTGAAGGACGTTGACTGCTCCTATTCTGATGAAGCCTCTGAAACTAGGGTGGTGGTAAGTATGTAATTATAAATTTCTAAGTCTGTTGATTCTTGAGTTCTTTGCAACATAGCTATCCTCTTCATATGGATTCTCTCCTTCCCCACCAGCATGGCTACACAGGGAAAATAAACCTTCATTCTCAGAGGAAAGAGAGCCTTTCCTCTACATTCCCTCCAGCATGGGAGAGAGCACTGGCAATCAGCCAGTAGCCTAGAAGCTTTGCTGGGACCTTTTGGAAATAGGGATATAGTTGCTCCAAAACACCCAGCACTGGAAGGGCCCATGACTAGCCCAGCTATGGACTGAATGTTTGTGTTTCCTCATATTCATATGTTGAGATTGGAATCCTCAGTGTGATGGTATTTGGAGATGGGGCCTTTGGGAGGTGATTCAGTCATGAAGCAGAGCCCCTAACAATGGGATTGGTGCCCTACAAGAAGGATCAGGAGGGAGCTTGCTTCCTCCTCCTGCTCTTCCCTGTGGGGGGATACGGTGAGAAGGCAGCCATCTGCAAACCATTTGCAAACAAGATACTTGATCTGCTGGCAGCCTGGTCTTGGACTTCTTAGCCTCTCAGAACTGTGGCAAATATATTTGTGTTGCTCCAGACATCCACTATATGGAGTCTTGTTACAGCTGCCTGAACTGACAAAGGGCTCTCTCTTGGCCAGAGCCTGTATTAGGCTTTGTGCAGCCCTTTTGCTAGGAAAGCAGCACCCCACCTGTCTTCAAACCACTCCTGCCAACCATAATAACGAAGTGACAACTAAAATGATTGCGACACAGTGACTTGACTGTTCAGGTGCCTCATCTGGTTCCACAGATACCGTGCCCACTTTTTCTCAGGACAGCCTCCTCTGACACAGTGAGAAAGTGGAAGATTTTGATGCCTGCCGAGTTATTCACGTGGGAGATTTTCCTCAGAGGTGTGTGCTCCTCTCAAAACCCACTTCTCGTGAGTGGCTGTCACCATTTTTGTTGTTCAACTTCTTGAGCACTTATTATGTGCCAGGTACTGTTCTAGGTGTTTGAAATACATTGATGAGAAAAACAAAATACTGCAAATGAAATTTTGATTTGGTGTATATTTGGTAGATACTTTCTAAGTATTTTTTTTTAAATCTTTGCCAAATTTGTAACTTCCCACATTCACATCCATACTGCCTTGGTATTAAATTATGCATTCATGTTATTTCTCATATTGCCTTTTAACGGAAATATGTCTAATCAGAATAAACACAGTTATAAGTACGAATGACTTCTGTGTATAAGACACCTGTTTTCAGGGATGGATATGCTTTAAATTATTCTTAGATTATATAACCATGTGACACAGACATGGCACACTCCATGATTCGCTGGAGATTTGTTCTATTTAAGGGTCAACTAATGATACTTGGAAACATGCAGTGATTCCGGATATTACATTTTGTCTAATGCTCTGTTCCTTATCAGTGACCATTACTTTCAGGTTAGTGGATTCTCAGCCTCCAGGCAAAACTTAAAGAAAAAAAAAAAAACAAGAAATGTTGGTTTATACTTTGCTCCAGGCTCATACCAGAGAAGTCTGGAAAATTGCAATTTTCTTAATCAGGTTGAAAAAAAAATATGTAAGCAGAAATAACGCGGCTATGGTTAATTATAAAACTTATATTGCTATTAAAAAAGTTTCCTTCAGAGTTTTAGAAACCGGGGCATATATCTGAGAGAAGGAAAAAACAGGGACTACCATGAAATTAACAAAATGGGACATAATTTTGCAATTGAGATAATCTTCTGAGTTCTTTGTATTGTGGCTATACTTGGGTATGAGAAATAATTATGATTTCATATGTGAAAATTTCTGCAGACTCTTGAAATCCACATGGGAGATGGCCTAACAGAGCTATAGATCAGGAAAACGTGTACACATATCTTGTCTTGAACTCAGGAAAATATTTGATAAAGTGTCTCCATATTGTCCCTAAGCTGGAAAAATGTGAGTGGAATGAGGTATAGTTAAGTGAATCTTCACAACCATACTCACTTGGTCTGTGTGACTATTGATGTTCAGCAAATGTTTGTGGAGTGAAATTGACATGAAGTGATCAATGTTCATCTGTATGGCACTCCATTTCTAAACCCTATTCTATCACAGAAGTGTGAAGGTTTCCAGGACCTTCCTGAGAATCTAACGCCCTTTACTTCCCTGTCTGTAAACTAATGATACAATGGTGATTCTGGTTGGTGGTGATGATGATAACGATGATGATGGCAGCTAATGTACGGTGTACTCGGCACTCTATCAGGAATTAACATCAGGAACTAATGTCTGGCATCCATCTGATCAGGGTACACGTCCCAATTCCATTGCTCACTAGTTGGGTGACCCTAAATGAGTTAATTACCATCACTAAATCTGAGTTTCTTCATTTGTCACTTGATTAAATGGAGATAAACATGCTAGTGCTTTCTCTTATTGACAGAATAAAATTCAAATTTTTAAAAATGGCCTAAAGCCCAGACCTACATTATCTGACTCCTCTCTACCCACACAAACTCATTCTAATCTCTCGTGGGCTTACTTCAGAGTGGTCTGTTTTCTCTTTTTCAAGCAAGCCAAAGACCTTTCCACTTGAGTCCTTTGCACTGTCATATGACAGTTACATCCCCATGTTTATTCAAGTTCACCTCTTCCCAGAAGCCTTTACTGCCCACCTTATCAAAAGTAGCCCTCTGCTCCCCATCACCCTCATCATCTAGTCATTCTCTCTGACCTTATGTATCAAAATGGATACATTACTTGTTATAATTACCTTCTTAACATTTTTGGGGTCTCATTGTTTGCTTGTTTATAGCTGATTTCCTCTACTAGAAAATAAGCTTCATCAAGGTGGGCTAGAGTGTGTGTTGTTTGCTAATCTAGTTCTAGCAGCTGGCACAGTACTTGACCCAATTAGGTGGTCCAAAAATGGAGCTGTATGCATAAGTGAAAGAGTAAGTGCTTCATAGGTTGTTAAGAAGGTTAAATGCATAGCGTCTGGCAGAAAACAAGTGATGAATTGATATTTCCTAATGTTATTATTACTAATGATACCGAGATAGAAATGGGCTTTTGTAAAGACTGCCGTCTAGAGAGGAAAATATGGGTGTATAATATATTAACCAACCACTATAAGCCAAGTACTAGAATGAGAGTATTGCATGAATAGGGCTTTTGTAACATGGGGACATGCAGATATGCACAGGAAATCCTTACTGAACTCTTGTTTTTACATGAATGTTCTTAAAGAATGTGGCCTAAGAATAAGAGAAGCATGAGGATAGAGAGTGGAGGGAATGACAATCCTCCTCATTAGATTTAACATTTTGTCACTTTAGAGGTAATAGTCTGCCATGCAAGATAGTAAGCTGGTGCAGGAGTAATCTGGTGCAGGCCAAGGCTGTGTGCTCTATCTGTTGACTTTCTCATCTGCTTCATCATTGCTACTCAGTGTTTAACATATCCTGGTGTAGATCATGTTCATACTTTCACGACCTTCTCCACTCCTCCCTAGTACTGATTTCAGAGAGGGATTTATGAGGTTTAGCTCTCCCCTAGTCCTCCTCAAGGCATCTCCAACACTACCCCCCATTAAATTCATTCAAGTGAAGGCATGACCCTGTTACACAACTGAAGCTTCAAGACCAGTCCTCCAGCTTCCCCCTTCTAATGTGTTTGCTGCCCCTACATAGACATTTGGGGCTGCTACATCCCTCTTTACTCTTTCCTCTGCTCATGCCCTATAATCACTCTCCCCAATTCTACAGATTATACGTTTATCTTCTTAGAATGTTCTATATCTGCATCCCTTCTCCCCTCACCAGCTTTCAGTAATTACACGTTTATTTTTAGGAAACACAACCCCTCCTATTAGAAATTCTTCGGAGCACAGTTGTGGAGATAAGACTGACCTCTGAAATTTTATGATTAGAACCACAACGTTTCCATATTGATAAATTATAGATACAGCAAGGCAGTTTCTTTTCCCACCAGGATTTCTGTTTGGGAATACTAAAACTGCCAAACAGTGAGAGAGAGAGAGACAACACGATCATTTTTTTCGTGGTTGATTTTTCACATCAGGGATATTTGCTGGCACAGGTTGAAAAAAGAACATTAATTTTATTTTAAACTGAGGAAATACAAAACGCAATATCTTCGTGTTAGGTAGAGAATTTATTATTGTGAGGGATGGGTCTGGTGAGTCATCACCGAGTAATTTCAGTTTGTTGATTTTATAGATGCACAAGTTCAAAGACCAGATCATGCCCATCAAGTTTGATGGTACACTAATGACAGTTACCCTTCTGGTAATACTATCACTGAACTAACAAAGAGGAGCAAAGCTTCCACTACTGAACCTCTCTGAGGGCATATCAGGCCCCTGGTAAGCGAACAGGGAGAGAAGGAACTGTGTCTGGCTGGATGGATAATGATTACAATTGACTAACTTTTAGAAGGAACAAATCAACAGCAACATTTTGCCTCTTCAGATTATCAGGCAATAGATTTCCTGTGAGCGTCATTTTCAGAGAATCTCTTGCCCTGAGCTGTAAAAAGAAGCCTCAAAGAAAATCCCACAAAAATTAATGTGTGCTGCCAGAAGAGATTTCAGGATGGTAGTGGTCATCATCATAAACAACAACAACCACCACAATAATAATAGTTGCAACAGTGTATGGGACTGACAACATATATATAATGGCAATATAAAAACAGGCAGTATCAGAGAAAATAAAGAGCCAGAGATGGTGGCTAGGAATTACTTAATACCTAATGAATGTTTTTATGCTTATTTTATCTACTCATACAGCAAACTAAGAAGATAATAAGCAAATAGCAGAGTTGAAGTTTGAAAAAAAATCAGTTTGGCCTTAGGGCCTATGCTCTCAACTAACTGTACTCTATCATTCTGTATAATATAATATAATATAATATATCATAACATAATACGGCTACAGCACAGTGTCTTATAGTTGTCTCTTGTCCT